AGGTATATATATATATATATATATATATATATATATACAGAACGAGTTTCCTCAACTAGTAACGGAGCAGAACTACACATATTACAAACATTTTGTGTAAAGGTGGAAAACTGCTCGGGGCCCGGCACAATTCAATCTGGGAATTAGAAGACTCAGTTCTGCAAGACCTCCAGACTGAGGGAACTATGTTCTAACTAAAAAAATTATCGTTTTATGAAAATTGTTGCAAACTTTATGTGTTGCATACTCAAAGTTATGTGATATGCCATCACAAACCCGCGTAGCCGAAAGGCAGACAAGTGAAGAACAAATAAATAATAACAAATTTGTCGCCAATTACAGTTCACTTTAACATATAACATTGCATGGATATACTAACGGATCCAGGATTTAATTTCGAGGGGCTTCAAGCCCGAAAGATTTTTTTTTGTATGTATATATTAGGATAATTACTTTAGAAGAAATAAAGAAACTAACTACCTCCATAAAATTGTGTTACAGTGATTCTTGAAGTCCTATTAAATGTAATTAGACGAACAATAATACTTTTAAAGATAATTTTTTTCAAAAACCATCGTGATATTTTAACATTTTGGGGGGGCTTCAGCCCGAAAGCCCCCCATAGATCCGCTTGTGCATGGATAAACACTTGAAGTTACACGTTTATCTGAAACAGCAGCGTTTATCTTGTCCTAATGGAATTGGTGAAAGTCTAGGGATATATATTTTTTCTTTTTCTTTTTCTTTTTTTTTTTTTAAATTTAACTCATCTAACCTCCGAGGCGTCTGAAAAGAAGATGGCCTCGGGATCTTCTAATATAGAACTTTAATTTGAGTTCTACCAATGGGTGGTTTCTCTTCATGTTATACATGTCATGTTACCAATTTCACATTTACTAATTGTATTTTCTATGTAATACAGTTGTAAATTCCATTAAAATAATAAAAAAAAAATCTCATCAAACAATGAACTGAAATAACCGTGACGTCACCTCCACCCTCTCCTTTTTGCCCCCTCTCTCTCGTAAACACACACCCTCATAATTGGTGTTCGTCACTTCACCATCAATCTTTAGTTTGATACTTATTAATCAAAATCCATCGCTACTTAGAGCCAAAAAAAGAGATCTACACTAGCTTACATTGTATTGAGTACTGTGTTTTGTTTTTATTAGACAAATAATTTTTAATAAATTCGTCATTTGTAACTGCATAGAAGTGGTTCTGTCAGTCACGGAAACGTATGAATCTGTTTATTAAAATCTAGATAACTTTTTAGTTTTCCTAACAATAATAATTAACCCGCGATGCTTTATATTTTAATAGAGCTAAAGCAATAATAATAACATTATTCAGTGACAATACATTAATAACTTAGAGTTGCATTATGAAGTTCCTAACTGATTTATAAATAATGATGCCACACTGCTCAGCCCATTATTTAATATTAATCTTCAACTTGCCACACTGAAAATTTAATGTGTTGGTTTAGTATGCTTTTAGACCAGTATGCTTTTAGTAAGGGCTCTATTGACCATAATTACATTATAGTCTAGTGATAATAAACATGTCGGTTTGCATTTTCTGAAACAGTTTATAGAAAAGTATGTTAAAACTAGGAACATCTTTAAGTATGATTGAAATACATCTTAAGCACAGAAAATTTAAGATTAGGAATCAAAATAATTCATAATTGGTTGTCCCCTCATTTTCCATATCTATTCTATTCAAGGATAGGCATCTTAACACTTTCTTCAGCCCAAAATCCCTCCACTTATATTTATTCAAATAATATGAATGAAAACTGTTATATATGAACAAAAACGTTTTTAATACAGATTTTAAATTAGAAATCCACATTAAAATAAAGTATACATATCGTTACAAATAGTATGTAATATCTTTACATAATATTTTTGTTGCTGTCTTTGTTTTACAAAAGACTTTGTTTGAGTTTTAATGGTAAATTTAATATTTAAGGGATCCCTGGAAAATTATTCTAGGGATCCTGATATCCTCCATTTCTCTACATGTTCCTGCATGTATGTGTAGAGTATATATACATATGCATATTTATATATATTTTTTAACGTTTCATTAATTACATACCTCATAGTTCATTACACATTCTCAGACACAGTTCTTAATAGGGAAGGACCAGGAGGCTCAGGATCTCTACTACTATGACCCCCGTCATAGTAATTTTGAGAATCCTGAAAGAAATGGAGATTAGTTGCTAGTTGGTATTTAAAATAATAACTGCTTACCAAATTAAATGCCCGATGAGGAAGAGAAGCCCAGCCTGGTCTGCAAGATTTAATTTTTTTAACTTCAAAATAAAGTATAGTAAACATTAGATGATAATTATGTCATGTCTTTATATGATAGTGTTGTTGCATACTTTATGTGAGGGTTCAGTTAGGTTTAAGTGGTACATTTAATATTTGAAAGAGGCCAGCGAAAATTGTCCCTGATTACTCTTCACAGCCCTGTCTAATCATAAAAAACGTACGATGAACTTTTTATAGTAATTCAAGATCCTGCAGATATTTAAATGAAGCAAACTAGAAAACACCAAATTTACAATTCGTCAACACCCAACAAGAAAATTATTACAGAACAATTAACTATAATAAATTCATTATGTGAGTTAGAAATTTGAGATATAAAAGAGCACTGATTTAAAAATCAATACTGGAATGTAAACAAAATAATTTTTTCCCCTTTTAATCTCTAAAAAAAACTTTTAACATAAAAATAAGTGCTTTATTTAATCTCTCCTGCCTCTTTTGATTAGAGAATTAAAAAAATTAAATTAAGACCTATAACACTACATTCCTTGCTGGGTCTTAGATAAGAAAGTTCTGTTTCATTGCCAACAGTTGAGAAAGGAAGCCAGAGATCCTGCTCAACCGCAGGTGTTTTTTAAAATTGAGAGTACCTACTTTATAGTGCCCCGTTGTGCCCGAGGTGTATTTCCTGACCCTACGGTGATTCACAGCTAACGTTTCAGAGTAAAAAATAACTGAAAACCCTGTATCTGAGCCTAGGTGAGCTACCATGCTCTCCCTCTTTGGTTTATAAATCATTCTATTTTAAATCCAGTTTATGCATCTACATAAGGATGAGTTGATTAGAAAATATTGACACCTATAATACTTGGAATATAGTATTTCTTTCAATACAATAAATACAACTGACCATAGGTGCCGACTTTACATTTTGATTGGGAGGTGAGTGAGGAACCTTAAAAAAACAGCAGGAGCTCATATTATGAGTAAAAATTCTAAACTAAACAATTTCATATATTACATATATGTATAAATTAAACATGGGAGAGGGAGACAGCCTCTATAACTTTTCCCTCTAAAAATAAATTATGTTAAAAACTAAAAAATATTTTTGATTTATCAGTTCATACAACCCCAAAATAAAAATTAAGTGTTTTCAGTCTGACTAGTTATGTAATAATGACTGTAAAATATATTTATACTTATACTTATTGAATATATTTTTTTCCACAGAAATTCTTATTAGAATTATCACATGAAAACGGAGGAGTGCACAAGATGAATCATAAAACTCTAGGATATGTTGCTACATACTATTATCCTTGATTATGAATGAAAATTTAAAAAATAGAAATATTTTGGTCCTAATTAAATAGTTACGTACCTTCTACTAGCCTTTTCTTAATCGATTTTAGTTTAAATATTTTATTCATTTATGTAGCTTATTTATTATGAATTTTAATTTTTGTTTTTTACTCCAAATTATTGGAGGACGAGGGCGAAACGATGTTCTTGACCCCTATTCATTTTTATTGGTAGGGTGATTGCCCCCCTTAAGTCTGCACCTATGCAATTGATATCTTACTTGTTACTAAAATATAAATGGAAAGTTGTTGTATAGTGAATAAAGAAGGAATAGAAAAAAATGTAACCTACTCTGAATTGACTGGTCTGATATACATATATTAGAGGCTTTGAAAATGAAATATCAATGTCTGACGGACTTCATTTTTATTAAATCTATAGATTTTTTATTATTTAATCATTTCAACTTGAGCCTAAAAGTTACTGAACTTTTTCAGCTAAATTCATGGCTACTGATTGAAAATGGGCAGCCACAGAATTTTTTTGATTAATTTAGGAAAATGTATATAATGTGAACTTATACTTTTTTTTTATCAATTTATATAAAACTGGGCAGAGGCCCATCCATGACAGATGATAAAATTAATAGGTAAATATATTAAAACCATCATCAAACAAAAATCCCAAACTGTCCTTAAACATTTTTTGAAATTTCATAATTTCAGCCAGCTCCTACGTTCCTCTTTGTTCCTCCCCATCCTTTGACTATGGTCACTTGGTACCTCAGTGAGCTTGGTCCTATTTCTACCCTCTGTGCTAGAAATAGGATGGAAGAGAATTATGAATTGTTTGAAGACTCAATTTCATGCATTCTCATTTTCCTAGGTGGCTTGCAGAGTTGTTTTATCCTTTTTTTCTGAATGCCAGCTATATTGAATGGAAAAAAAAACAAAAAACTTCTCTACATTCGAAAACTCTTCACTCTACACTTCTTTACTCACAAGATCTCGACCTATTGATTTATAGTCCCTCTGACTAAACTGCTTCTGTCAGTAAATCTTGGTCATTGATGCTATCTCCTTTTAGAAATGTTTAGCCATCTCTACCAATCTATCCTCTTCCACATATTCCTTTAGACAACAGTTCTCGTTCCACTTTATAATCAAACCACCACATCAATTTGAGTAATAATAATTCCTGTAATAATAATCAGTAACAAAAAATAATTGTTAAATACCCATTTTTTAAATATTTAGCCAAATTAATTTACATAAAGTCTCAACATTTATTATTTTTAGGAGTATTTTGTCCCAGAACAAAATTATATTTTCATCTCGGTTCATCAAGCAAGACAAATATTTATAGATACATGGAAGGAATTGGGAAATAAAGAATTACCACATTAATTTACAAAATTTATTTACTTAAATAGTTTGTTTATATAAATATAGTTTCAACTTCAACAAAGTATTTGTAGCTGAATACCAGCTTAAAATATTAAACCAAAAACAGAAGGTGAAAAAAAAACTAAATCATATTGCTAATGGTATGATATATAACTGTAATTAACCAGAATACTAAGGATAAAATAACTAACATCTTTAGCGAAACTAACTAACGGGCGGGCTTCAGCTTAACAGGTTATATGACTAGATTAATCCTGGTGTATATATATATTTTATAAAGCTATTATATGTTAGTAGCTTTTTTCTGCCATATACTTAAATTCATAATTAAAGTCAAGCCGAAACTCCAGTAACGTTGCAGTAAAACATAAAAACATTGAGATCTTAAAACAATTTTTAAATGAATAAATACAAACATGTTTTGGTTAAAAAGTTGGTGCATAGCCACAAAGTTTAATGTAAAAAAGAATATTCTGTTAATAATATTCAGTACTAAATTATTATTTCATGAGGATCACAAATATTACTACTTTTTTAAAAAAATAGTTATGTTAAAATTATCATGATTTTATTTGTTTTTAATTTTTATACAAGTTAAAAATTTTAAACTGAGTAGAAACATAAATTTTAAGATCTCAATGTTAACATAAGCTGACAGAAATTTGTTTATGTCAAACATAGAGGTTATGGAAAAATTAATATAAATTTGATGGATATAAAATTATGTGGTTAAATGAACTGAGAGATTATACAACTTTGATGTTATCTTTACAGTCTTAGGCATGAGTATATAAAAGTTCGTAAATGACTCAAAAATAATATTTGAGAGAAAATACAAATAAAACATCACAATTGGTTATGATCACCCTGTAAATTAAAAGAAAGAGGTGTATATATAAATTTTAGAAATATCTCGATTACAAGACATGCTAAGTACAATTAAATACATCTAAAAAAATATATACAAATAATAATAATAAAAAAAATACACTCAAATGAATCAATATTGTTATATGTTTTTCTTCTAAGAGTTTTATACTATCTAAAAAAAAACCACTTTATTAAGCATAGTAATAAAACATAAAAAACAGATATTTAAACATTTATAAAATGGACTAACAAAAGTGTTAAAAGAAATCATTTTTCAAACATATTTACAATTCCAATGGAGAACCTTAATGATCCTTTCTATGATGAGAGTAAAAAATGTATTGAAGATAGAATAAAATAATGAAATTTCATTTTTAATAGTTACGATATTAGGTCGTTTTCATTATTTCCCCCAAAACTTAAGTGGAGCTATGGAGCCCAAAAACTAAAGATTAATTATTCATAAACACGAATAATACCATAAAATTTTTATTTCATTGGCTAATATCAAACGTGCAGACCTACTCATTTTAACTTTCCAATGATCTGAATGATCATATTGATTGATATCATAAACCAAGAGGTAAATATAGTGGCTTCCGCTGTCACTAAGTGGTATGTTTAGACCTGTCACATAAGTCTTGATATAACTAAACCCTATTGAACATATATCAGATGGTTTTCAAGACAAAAAAACCATATTGTTCGCTAAATACCACATCAAATTTAAGCCTTAATTAATACAAGGGGAGAAATTAAGCCCTGATTGGATTAATATAGTTATTCAAAGAAACTTATCTAACCAAACAATATTAATTAGGCAGATTGAAAAAAATAATTAATAAAGGATGACTACATTGTTTTTTTCTCTTCAGTATATAATACATTTGTTCCTACTTGAGATTTTAGTACCAACCAGCAAATTATCAGAAGCACACGCAATACAATTTTCTTATTCTAAAATATGTACATTCATGCGCCTGATAATCTACTAATAGTGAAAAATCTTGTTGAAACACCACTTATATATTTTATTTGATCAGCAAGGCTTTTAATTATTTTTTTTCAAAGATAAGTCACATGAAATAAATAAAATGTAATTACCAATGAAACATGATTAAAAAAAAAAAAAGAAAATCAAAGAATTTTTAGTTATATGAATTAAAAATAAGATAAAAAAAAAAGTATCAACGGTTCTTTCAATGGTTCGATAGTAAATTTTTCAATAATTTTTATTTTCTTTGGTTTTATATTTCCTGGAAATTACAATAAATCAAATATTAACAATGGAAGTAATATTTAAAAATATAATAATAATAATGTTATCACCTAAACTATTCTGATATCTTTACAGAACAGATAGATTATTTCTTTTTTTTATGTAAATACTGTTTTGTTTTTAAAAATTATAGATGGGCTGCTTTGGTGATAAAAAAAAAAAAAATGTTTTACACAAAAATCATAGCATTATTACATTTAAATAACAAATAAACCTTTCAGTCTCAGATGATTTGAGTTTAAAATTCAAAAATATACAAAAGGTATTGCACACATGAAATTACCTTGATAAATACCATTTACAAAAATATACATTTCATTTCTGAGCTTTCTTCAACATCAGGTATCAAAGGTAACTAATAGTCTATTCACAAATAATTTGTGCCAGCTGGGCTGCTCTTTCAAACAACGAGTTTTGATATAAAATACAACTTCATATTTTTTCTTAAACAAAATTTATCAATACGAGCATAGGCCACAGCAGAAAAAACAAAACAAGAACATATTTACAACAGTAATATACACAATAGTGATTTAATTATCCTCTTTAAGAGGATATTAAAAGAAACGATTTTATTAAGAATATCTAAGAGACGAGACTGAGGCTATTTTGGCACCTGACACTGTGTGCAGTTCTGCATCTTGGGCTGGTAATACTCAATTTGGAGGGTCATCTCGAAGAAATTGTACTTTTCATGGATCTTACGTGTTGCTGTTGTTAATATTTCACTCGGGTTTCCTTTTTCCTCTGAAAAAATATATAAATATTTATGATAAAACATGGTGAAATATATTTAATTAATAGTAATTAATAGTAGTAAAGTAAAAATAATATATATAATTACTAGTAAAACCTATTTAAATTTACAAATATATATTTCAAGGGCGAAAGAGGAATGAAGGCTCTTCATTTCTTCCAACCCAAAAAGTTCTGTCCATAATTTTTTTTTTTTGTTTATTCAAGAGGAGTTTTACTCATTGACTTTCTTCATTGATTAAAAACATAGAATGCATTTACTATTGCCAGTTGCTACAGTCAATGAATCTGCCCGTTAAAACAAAAGAAAAATATGTGTATTTCAGACTATTTAATCTAGTTCTTTTGATAAAGATTAAAAATATTGATACAATAAATATCCATATATATATTTTATAAATACATTCCTATTTTCCTTTTAAGTTATGATGTGAAAAGAAGTAACCCCATTCATTTCGGAGACAATATTTTTTCTGATGACCATACAGAATTAGTGATTATACTGGACATGCCTGTAAATGCTCTGAGGTACATGGAATACAAATAGGAACATTTCTGACTGGCATTAACCTTCTACATTGGAAACAGTTTCCTACTGAAGCTCAGAGAATAGTTGAGTTCCTCTAAGAGATTTGTTTCCCATTGTTGGTGTTGACGCCAACATGTGTAGTTTTATTGTTTGTTTTTGCCGTGTCGTAGTATGGAGGGTTCAATTTTATTTTAATTATGAATAACATAGTTCATACACAAAGACGTAACAGTGACGATGTTTTCGGCCAGTTCCGGGTCAGCCCGCCTCTATTCGTATCACTTAATACCAAAGGCAAAAAGAAAACATTACAAGTGCAGTATGGCTGCTGGCAGCAATGGGTATGGAACTGACCATATGATGTTCTGTTCTCCGTCCCGTCACAATGTACCTGGGCAAACTCAATGGTTTCATCTCACCAGGTTGTGACGGCGACTTCCCGCCTCTGGGACATTATCCTGCAGGAGAACTCTCGTCAGCTGCAAGATGTAATATGAGCCGGCTGGAGGTGAATTTGTGTATTTTAATTTAGAAGAGCTTTAAGGTGAGTGGCGCCTCTCTAAAAACAGTTAATGACCCCACGGGTCTCAGATCTTATCATCAGGAAATAAAAACATTATTTTATCAATTAAATATATTACAATGAGGTTGAACTCTGTCTTAAATACTACTTTTTGCAATGCCACTCCAGGGCACTTAATAGTGTAATGGCTAGTATCTTACTTTACAATACTAAATTGTCAGGTCCAGTACTGGGTTTTCATCATTCTCTTTTGTTGTATATTAAATATTATAATTTTAGATTTATAAACATATAAATTATGGCCTTGTATAATATAATTTTAAAACAATTAAATTAACATCTGGGTTAATTGCATTTTCATTAAATAATAATAATTAATTATTTTAATAACAAAACAGCCTTAGAACATTGTAAATTTAATTCATTAGTTTGAGGTTTTTAATTTGAGGTTTTTGAGGAATTTAATAAAGAATAGATGAATATATAAGAAGACAAAAAGTTGTCTACTATTTAATATACAATATTTAAAAAAATGGCAAAATTTGAAACATGTTAGACACTATAATGTCTATTAGAATTAATTTAGTAGCTCAAGCTACTGCCTGTATCACAAATAATGACAATCAATTGCCTATCTATGTCCTCAACGAAGTTATAAACCAATGCCTGTGGTATATTGTCCGATTCTTCAAAAACAGCTGCTTTCAACTTTTCAAGTGTACCAGAGATGGAATTCTTATTTTACATACTGATCTTTAGTAGAATCCGAACATGCTCTATTGAATTAATGTATATATTTTTTAGGACCTCTCCAACTGTGAAGGCAGTGGGCGTTCAAAAATGAACCACCAATTCTGCTCTATCAATTCCATAGGCATTGGTTAATGATATATTAATTAATTAATTTTAAACCTTTACAAATATTAAAAAGAAATCCATTGAGGATAAATATGTATAAAAAAAAAAAAAAAAACTGAATAGCAGAAAATCTATGTGTATATTGAAAATAATAAATGAAATGAACATGCTAACAAATTAATAAATGAAAGAATAAATTAAGACTGTTTCTCTTGATACAAATAATAATGAATGAGAAAAATAAAATATTACTATAATCATTAAACAAAAGGAAAACAAACCTCAAACTAATGAATTAAATTTACAATGTTCTAATTAGTTAGACCATCATTTTGATGATTATCTTCTCCTTTTGTTGCAAAAAATAAGTAAATCCCCCAGAAAAGTCAGGAAAAAAGTTATGAAGAAAACAAAACTTTATTTGTACAAAACTCAAATCGTATACCATTTATGATTGATTATACCCAAGACAATTAGAAAGCTGAATTATTGCTCTTCAAAGCAACCATTATATGAATGGTTTTTTAATGCCTACATAAGGAATAAATAAACAAAAACCCCTTATAGGTTTTTATTTTTTATTTCCCTTTGTAGTTTGTTTATAAAGGTTCTGTTGATATCATTTTGTGTAGGTTATTTGGCCCTAAATTCCAGCTAAATTTCTTGTAGATGGCTAAAGTTGTATTGAAGTTATAACATTTTTTGATTTTCGAAAAAAAAAAAAAAAATCATGCGACGGACCTAACCAGTAAGGCTAGAAACATAGTCGAGCTTGTGCAAATGTGTGAGACACATTTTGGGCCAAGCAATCTCTGATTGGGTGGAATTTTGATCAAAAACGGATGTAACATTGCTCTTTTCAATTTCATGTGGGTGACCAGATCGTTGAGCATCATTGATGTCAAAATTTCCTGAATGAAATTTGGCAAACCAAACAAAATATGCCTGATAATCAGTGATATTTCCTTCCATATTCACAGTGCAATAGCAAACACAATACTAAGCTAGTTTCAACAAGAGTTAACAGATAGTTAGCGATAGACATATTACAAACAGGATAAACAATCCAACTTAGGGATTAATTCATCAGATAAGAAGTATATCATAGTCATAAAAATAAACAGAAAAACAGAAAGGACTTATTTACCAACCCAGCATTTATTTAAAAAAAAAAATTACATTAGATTTATAATATTTGAAACTCATAAAATAAGCAATAAGTAATAATGTAGCATGCATACTTCAGTATGAGAAATTAGAATGATGATACAGCATAAAATATGACAAAATAATAATTACCAATAGCAACGTGGGCTGCGAGAGCAGTCTTTCCAAGACTGAGAGCCCAGATCCTGAGGTTGTGAACAGCCACTACTCCATCGATTGAAAGGAAAGTTTCCAAAACATCATTGAAATCAACATCTCTTGGCATTCCTGCAATATAACAAAAATAAAATCAATTTTAGTTGCTTAAAATTTCATTGTAAATCATTAAATTAGAGCAATATGTAAGGTGATTTTTTTTTTTTTCAATCTTTAAAAATCTTAGTCTGTAACTAACATTATATTTATGAGTGATTAAGGTAGTCATTCTGTCCCTTCCCTAAAAAGGTTTTATCCTACTGGTAGATATATTGATAAATATGAATAGTACCAGCATTACATTTGTATCCTATTTGACACTCTATAGGCTGTATTTGTGTTAAAAATTTATTTCAAGTTAGTCAGGTATTATTGAGTCAGGTTGGTCAGGAGTGCAGTCAATAGACAAGTACTATTTATTGTAGTAGTGTTTTTATTTTAATTGCCAATGTTTCGACTTACAACTTAACTACTGCTACTGTTACATGTAGTATGTGTCTATTGACCACATACCCGAACAACTTCTTAAATTTAAATTAAGGTCAATTATATTTCAATACCATTAAAAGATTATTTATTTATATTCAACCACTACCAGCCATTTTCTTGAAAATTTTGAAAACTAATTCTATAATTTCAATTCAGGTACCTATGCTCTAATTTCAGATTTTCATCATAATATTTTAAAGATATCATGATATAATTTATCTCAATAATACCTAATTTATGAATATTTGTTTCTTTTAGAGAAATGTAATTAAGTTTAGAAATTGATTTCTTATTAGTGGTTTAATTTTTCTCTACAATACTTTTCCCCTGAAATTTATTAATAAAATGAGATGTTAACTTACATTCGAACATTTTTTTTTTTTTTTTTTTTTTCCTACGCCTAAGTAACGCCTGCTTCGTTAGCCATGCGTGCTCTTGCAGTCCAATACAATTTTGCTCTCCGAGCATAAAAGCTGTCCATTTCATTAAAGCAACATCTTATGTCCTGTAATGCAGGGTATGTATCCAGATGTTCTCCTGTCATTATGTCTAAGGAACATAGAGGGCATGTCGGACTATCTTTTACACCGATGCGGTTGAGGTGCTTCTGAAGGAAATCGCGGTCTGTCAGCATCCTAAAGTATGCCACGGCTTTCCCTCTAGGGAGGTCTCTAGGAATCCTGCCACTTTCTTCCAGCAATCCACTCCATCGTTTCCCTTCAATTGTTTGAACATATTTCTCTTTCAGTGAACTTTGGAGGTTCTGCTTTATGATTCTTTTTGTTGAATCCATGGTCAGAGAAATATCGGATTGGATCATTCCAGAACCTATTCTGGCCAGTTTATCAGCTTCATCATTTCCGTGAAGCCCGCAATGGCCTAGTATCCACTGGAAAGCGACTTCTGTCCCATTTTCCTTAAATCGGTTCAAATATTGATGGCATTTAGGAACATTTGGATTTATACTATATCCATTTTTTAGGGACAAAATGGCTGCCTGTGAGACAAACATGGTATTGAAGTAAGAGATGAAATCAATTATCATAGAGATCATAACACACCTTTAATTTATTTTTCATAATTTAAGATCCATTCATATTTACCATAGGGAGTAGAAAGTAAATAATAAAAAATAATTGATTGAATGTCATATTTGTTAATAAATTAAAGACCAAATGAATTTAAATGAAATTGATTATCATATCACTTTGAAAAATAATTCCAACATTATTTTTCAGTTTTGTATTCTTAACCAACTCTATGAATTTATTGTGTTTTAACACTTAAACACAGTCAAATAGAAAAAAAAAAGGCCTAAAAAATATATATAAATTAGATTAAAAAAAAAATGAAAATTTATTTTTACCTTCCATTAATACCAGGAGAGTATCCTTTAGTATGGAATATGTAGTGAATAAAACAAGGACGGAGAAGAGAAATGTGCAAATAGGATCGACAAGTTTCCAATCCTCCTAAAAAAAAAAAAAAAAAAATTGATCAATCATAATCAAATATATTTTCATTGCTATAAAAGGTAGTGAGCAAGCAAAACTACATTAAATGTACCAAAAGTTTGATATTTACCCTGAAATATATGATTAACGCAGCGATGAACACCCCTATACTCTGAATGAAGTCGCCCAAGACATGGATGAATGCAGCACTGACATTGATGTTTTTCGATGCAGCATTAGGAGCCACCACTCTCTCAGTATCGGTTGTCGATTGATCGTGAGAGTGAGAATGTGAATGCTGATGGAGTGTCATCCCCATACTAAGCAACAGAATAAGATAATATAAAATATTGCAAAACTCTAATGAGGCTAAATCAATATCCAACAAACTGGGAATAAAAGTCTGATAAATGGTTATAAAAAATTAAGAATGATTAATTTTAAAAAGCACTAAATAATCAGTAGTTATAATCAATATTTATTACTCACATTATATTAACAATGACTCCAACACCAGACGATATTAACATCACGGTAGGTTCAATCTCGAAGTCATTGTTAGCTATCCTCATGGCAGCCATGTAAACCAAAATACCTAAATTTCAAAGAGAAAATAAAAAATAAATTTAAAAAAAGGCTAAATAACTTTTAAAAAAAATTTAAAAGTAAGAAAAAAATAAGTTGCATTTTACAAATACATTAAAGATTTTTTTATACAATATCTATGTTCTTATCTAACTTTGTCTGTCTTTTATTTTATTTTTTTTCTAGTAAATGGTAATATCAACTAATTTTTATTTATTTATTTTTATTTGTTTACCCTCCACCTCTAGATCTAGATATCCTGTTCTAGAGATACATATTCTAACCAGAGTGGGAAGATTGAGATTCAATCGATGGGTTTGCCACAAAATAAATTTCACTACACTCGACAATGGTATAACAGCCAACACTTTGACACACTCGGCCACCACAGCCTCAACAATAACAACTGGTTGTTATCCTTAGTTATTTATTCCATGATTGTATCTTTTCTTTGAATTTTCTTTAACTGCATTTTGTTACTTTACCATCTATCTCTTTCGAATGCAGTTGTTAGTTATCATTTTCTTCTCAAAAACTTGTTTTGCAATAAATATGACAGCTCTTTCATATCTCTCTCACATTAGGTTGATTAATCTAATTCTAGAATCAAATGCTAAAATGCACTGGTCACATTTTAATTTCTGATCGATAAAATGAATTTATATCCATGAACTCAATGAAAAATGGCTTATTATAGATGATGTAATCTTTGTTGGTTTCTTAGTTCCTTAATTTATAAATACTTAATTTATCAATAAAATTTGGTTATTTATTTGTATCAAATTGTAAAAGTATTAGTAAGTTGTTTTATGTGACAGCAACTTTTAAAAGTTACAGTTTTTTCATTAAAAAAAAATATATATATATAAAAAAAACAGCTCACCAGTCACAAGCCAGATTGTTAACACAGACGTCAAAGCACCTATAACTTCGGCACGATGCCAGCCAAATGGCATGGTTCGTGTGGGTTTCCTTTGGCCTACCCATATTGCGAACAAGGAGATCATAAAAGCAGCAAAATCAGTTAACAGGTGAGCAGCATCTGTTGCTATAGCCAAACTACCTGATAGAAGACCACCTAAAAGAAATTGAAACAAAGAACTATTAGAAGAAGTTGTGCATAAATATGTAATTTAATGTGTTTAATTTAATAAAATCAATGCTACAACAGAATTTAAAAGGAATATAGATAAAAGTGAACTCCAAGCAACCAACCCGTATAGAGTTACTGTATATATATACATATAAAGGTAAAATCCAAGAACATATTTGGTTTTAACATGAGTTAGAAGCTTTTTCTATTTATGTTTCTTTAAATGGACAGCTGAATCTAACAAAATTCTTACTGTTAATTGTCATGAAGGATGAATTTATATTTGCCTTTATGATACTTGAAGGTCTCTTTCTATATTTATTTTATATTACCAACTACTCAAAAATACCAAATCTTTGAATGATTGAATAAAACAAAATTTCATACTTATTATATTGTTGAAATAATAAAATGAAAAAATCATCAATTGGAAAATAAACTTTTTTTTATTAATTATAGCTCTTGTCTAGATCTTATAGCCACCATACAGAGGATGCAGACCGAGTGTCATGTTGGTCAACATCCTTTGTATGCGTAGCCTTGATGAAGGCCTGAAACTTAAGACTGAAATTTGGGCACATAATAAAATGATTTTTTATTTTATTTTTATTTATATTTCTCACTATGACTGCAACCCCTAACTAATCTTCCAAACATTTTGTCTATTGTGAACTATTTCTCCACCATTACATTAATAATACTTTTAAATAATTTCTCATAGATTCATATAGCCCTGGATAAAATGAGCACATCACATAAATGTTATTTGATATACATTTGTCATATTAATGTCCCCTGAGTCAACTTTGAAAAATAATGTGAGAACTTACAATAAAATTTGGAACAGCGAAGAAAATCATTAACATTGTTAAGAAACTACATAACGGTTCCTCCAGTCAAGTCATTGTGGCATTGTCGAAGCTGTTTAATATTTGGACTGGTGTTAGACATGGATGTGTTCTCTCCCCCATCTCATTCCTAATGTTATTCGACATAATGAGTGGATAGTGGCTCTATCTAGCTTCCCGACAGCAATATTTCGTAGGTATTTTCCTTTTCCGAGCCTTTATGACAAAAAACCTTAACCTTCTTGATCTGTTTATTCCCTACCCCTCTGAACAATCTTTCAACACGAGAACCAAGCCCTCAAACCTTCTCATACAACTGATTCCTTTAAAAAATCTTTTTTCATACACGCTACCTTGTTTTGGAATTCCTTATGCAAATCCTCACCCTTAATCACATTTAAATACCATTTATTTATCCATCTCCTCAGCAATCAATCTTTCTAATATATGTAAGAGTAAAATTTTTATGTTTTTTAGAGCTGTCACCTCATTTTGCTGTCTTCTCACAGATACATACATATTGCCCATTGTCTATGTGTAAGCACACTCTTATACACACACCTATGATTAAAATGTTAACTTCTGCCTTTCTTTACTGTAATATAAAGAATCAATAGCAATGTACTTCAATCAACTTGTATGCCAGACAAATGTCACTAAATTGTTCCTTATAATCATTCTTAGGAGGATGAATCCCCTAGAAAATTTATTTTTTCATTTCCAAATAATTGAAAGGGTTAGTAAATTCTACTACCTTGGGAGTATGGTGAGACAGGATGGGATCAGCTGATGAAGATGTTGGGAGCAGTGTAAGAAAAGCATAGAAAGCATTCTCACAGCTCTGGCCAGAGTGGAAATCACAAGAAATCCATAAAGGAGCCAAGCATTGCATTTTCAATGCTAACATATGATGGTTTTGATATATGCTTTTAAGACTTGGAAAGCTACAAAGTAGGTGATCAAGAAGCTATCATAAATAGATGACTGCAGAACATATTGCGAAGTTTATTCCTACTGAAGGCGGTGGTCTGAAAACATCTCTAATGTTGAGTTCTAGTTGTGAACTAATCAGAGGCCATGATAGATCAGGTCACTGAATTTGGAAATGGAAATGATTGTGGCTCACACTTAGAAAGGAGCAAGATATAACCTATCGAGATTACCTAAGAAGAGAGATTCCCAGAGGGCTTCAAGAAGAAAACTGGCAAGACTAATGGGGACAGAAAAATCTTTTAGAAACTGTAAATGACAAAATGTAAAAAAATTGCTAATAAATTAAAAATTTCTACCGACCACGTTTTACTTCATACCATGGTATACAATCTAAATTAATGTAAATTTTTAAACAAAGTCGCTCACTGGACATTATTGGAATTAATTTTGTAATTATTATTTATATATTTCAATTATTGTGACAATTTTGTGTTTACAAATTGTAAACATTGATAGTGATGGCCTATTGACAGTATGCCTCCAAAACTTTTAAGTCCCAATTTTATTAAAATAAATGTTTCCTGTCTCTACAACAAAACTGAGAGTTCTGGATCAAAATGATTATGTAATTTCTATGTTATAAAAGTCATCACTTGTCCATGCCAGTTATAAAAAGGTGTAATTTAAGAAGGCTCCAGAGGGGATTAGTTTTTTTTTGTTCTCCTGAAAAATTACATCAGAAGCACTTAGGATGATTAGCAGTGATAGTATAGAGATTTGATAGATTTGGTAATTAGAATAAAATAACTCCTTAATCAATGTTTCCTCAGCCTTTAAAACTATCACATCTGTTTCTTAGCAGTTACCTTTGATACCATTACTATTATTATCAACCGTAGAGAACAATTTGGAATTTAGTTGGTGTAGGAAAACTGTTTCTTTAACAAGATCATCTGACACCATAGTATTTGAGACTAAAAGACTGGAAGAGAAAAAGGTATTTAAACTTTCATAAGATGTTTGACAATTTATGATGCAGGTCTTTCAAAGAAAAGAATCTATGCTTTGTATTATTTACGCTAATTTTGAGGGATTGAGATCAAAGATTACAAAGAATAACTAAGATGCTAAATAAGTGATTTAAAAGTGATGCACTGATTTCGTAACTGAGTTAAAAAATGAATAAAATAGATTTATTTTGAATAAATATAATCTTGATAACTTGAGTTTCTGTAACCTTTGCTTCCGTAGGGAATCTCATGTTCTAGTCTGTTCGATCAATCTAACGTTTACAATGTCTCCTTAATGACAAAAATTTCAGGGATTTTTTTTTTAATGGCTACAGGTATTATTTTACTACATTTTTTAAAAATAACCTTGTGGTGACAGACAACTAATTTAGTGGTGTTGGATGTGAAGTGAAAGGATTGGAGAATTATGCCAAATTAAAGAGAATTGGTAAATAATATAGAACTGTGCCATGTATGACACACTGAATTAACAATATAAAATTAAATATAAATTATAAAGCTATAAATACCAGCAATTTCTGCTATCATGAAAATTAAACATAGAATAGAAGCTAGAATAAGCTTCCTTCTGGCCTTTTTGTCCATGTCACTGAAGTCCCTTTCCCTGTGACAGTGTGGATCTGACTGTCGTGGTTTTACTGAAACAAAAAATAAAAAATTATCAACTAACCAGTTTAGAGAGAAAAATTCGAATTAATTAAAAAAATTAACAAATAAACATTTGTGAAATTAGCAGTAAATGATTACAAATCTAAAATGTGCGATAACATAGTTTATAATTAAGAATAAACCAAAAATTGTAATCTAACTTTAAAAATGAAAAAGGAGGATCTTTCCTTAAATAGAAAATTAGAGAAATATAACAAATAGTGCAGTAATGATACCTCTAACAGAAAAAGAGAATGAAACCACAATATGAAAAGAAAGTATTCTAGGAAGAAAGTACTCATAATCACTCCATGATCCTACGGAAAACTTTGCTGTGCCTTAATTTTTATACAATCACTTTTATTTCACAAAATAAATCTATGAAATAATGTGAATAGTTTGGTTCAAATGATAACAAAGATGTTTCAACTACACAAACATAAAACTTACGTTACATTAACTCATGAATTTAGATCCAAAATCAAAAAAAGATAAATCCATGAAGGATTGAAATCACTAGTAGAATGTTTGACATATAATACTTTTATTTTTTTAATTTGTTTCATAAGGCGTTCTTAAAATATAAAAATATGCCGAATTGACCATTTAATTTTAAGAACTTTAAAAGAGTCAAATGACTAATAAAAGCAATTGATAAAAACAACAAAATTAACAAAATTTGTTTATAAACACAAAATAACACTTGTTTTAATTTCAAACTAAGAATCAACAATTACAAATCTCCACAAACAAAAACTTTAATTGATGAGTTAGCGGCTTATTAATGATTTTATTGAGGGAAGTTAAATTCACTCATTCTATTAACAAATTCTAATTGTACCTTTCCCAATATTGTTCGAGCATAAAGCATGCATAATATACAACACTGAACCAAATAACATTTCATCAGGATTGAATAATAGGGGAACCATACTGCCTCCGTTTCATACTCAATGATCATGCGCAGCGATAACCCAATACTATGGCTAAGAGAAATAAACCTTTTTTTTCTTCTACCATAAGATGTAGTATTCAACAGTTTTTATTTTATCTTAACAATAATATTGATGAGCTGTATAGAAATGAATGTAGAGAAATAAACATTTATAAGCCAACCAACAACACCTTCTTTATTAGAAATGTATAATTAGAGAACTAATAAAGGATATTCTGTTGAAGAAGTCCTAAAAAAACAAAACAATTTATAATATTTTTACTAAATGTTAAAATAAAAAAAAACACTAACAGGACTAAAGTTTATGTAAAGGTTAACATGTAACAACTTAATAATGGAATACAAAAAAATAATAATAAAATAATATAGCACTAATAGAACAATACTACAGTCACAAGGAATTAAGTTGGTAAATTGAAAAATGTTCTTCATAATTTATGAATATTGTTATTACCTCCACTATAACTAGATTTAAAGTATTTAGATTTGTGACATAACATTTTCACAATATGTAGAAGGCATGGGAGATAATCACAATACACCTATCTCATGAGAACTATTTTTCAACTTACCAACTATGATCACAAGTATAGATGGAAGTTTGCAGAGTGAGGACAAAACAGAAATTTTTTTGTAATACCGTCTTTCAGCTAAGGTATTAGCTATCAACTTCTGCGCTCAATTCCTAATAAGGGAGGGAGTTACGAATAGATTGATTTCTATTTTTACAGATAATAAAGTGGCAACTGGCACCCTGAATAATTACGCAACCCGCTTCAAGTTGGCGGTGGATGAATGTAAAGATAATTTGAACATTCTCTGTAGCACCAACAAGGTGATGGTTGAATGGATTCCTGGACACTCGGGTATTCTAGGCAATGAGAAAGCAGGCTACCTTGCTATGCTAGAAAGGGTTCTGTACAAGTGCCAGTAGCAACAGAGCCCACCTGTGGGATTAACCTCAGCTGTGCCAAAAGGCATATTATGGTAGCTGTTGGCAATAAAACTAAGCTCTATTGGGAGCAGACTAGGAAACAAATTCATTCGAAGTTGTTCCTAGAAGGACACTGACACAAGAGAAGTCCATAACTTCTTCTAATGGAAAGGAGAAGCATTAGGTGTGTGACAGGACTGTATACTGGTCACTGCCAACTCAATAAGCACCTCTTCAATCTGGGCTTAACTGAGACTCCCACCTGCAGGCTGTGTGGCCTGGAGGATGAGACCGCTTATCACGTTACATACAGATGTGATAATTTGGCCATACTGCGGTATTTTCACTTGGGAAGCGATTGTATCACTGACTCCAAGCTCTGTGGAATGATAAATCCTATTAGTCTTCACAAGTTTACAAAGGCATCTGGCCTGTTTTAACAGAATTTAAGACAACATAATAGGCCTCAATGAGCCCACAGTGCACAATCTGACAAACAACTTTAACCATTCTGTACATATAATAAATAAAATAAAGCATGTTGTCAGCAAATATATTTTATGATGATGTCACTTGTTCCAGACTTCTGAAAATTCCCACCTTAATAAATATTTAAAAAACAGAAGATCGTCAAGGAATGGGGAACTAAATGTTAAAGCAAGTAATAATTATAAAATTAACGACAAAATAAACAAAAAATTGAACAAATTAAAAAATAGGAGTAAATATCAGGTGAGGAAAGCAAAGACTAAATTGAATTGTTGGTTTTGATTTAATTTCTGTAAACATAGGAATGAAAATAATAATAAAAAAAAATTGTATTTGTTTTTCTCTTAAATTATACAAAAGCCCATACATAAGCTGTATTATTTTTATATAATGAGAAGAATAAGGGTCATAACACAATATTATTATAATCAAAATTTATACTTTTTCTTTATAAGCAAAAATTATTTACATAAATTGGCAATTTTTTTTCGTATAATATCCATTTATAATATATATATAATAAATTTACTGATTTTAATTAATACTTAAAAAACTTTTTATTTTAGATATTGTTTGGTAATGTATATATATATATACATTACCAAACAATATCAAAAATAAAAACTTTTTTAAGTATTAATTAAAATCGGTAAATTTATTATAATTATTTGTTAATTTATATCTAAAATTAACATAATAATTAAGATTTGAATCCCGATTCTTAGATCTATGATGACGATATGCAGTTTTTATGTTTAAATTACGGAAAAGGATTAGAACATAGTGATTAACCGAAATGTGAAATTCTAATAAATGAAAGATTTTTAATTGAAATTTTTGGAGGTTATTTTAAAGAGGGTAACTATCCAATGTTAGAAACTAAAAAAATAGGAATAATAAATAAAACTATAAACTGATAATGATCCAATTGTTTCAATAATAAATCAGAGAAACGCTATTTCAAAGATAAATCATAATAAACTTCAAAAAATGTCATATAATTTTAACTGAGTTTAACTAACATGCTTAAAGTTTGTAAAAAGAAAACACTATTCACTTCATAATAAACAATTTTTTTAAAACAATTCACCTGAACAATTAAAATCCATCCTTTACGTCCTTCTAGTAGCAAAGATCTTATAAGAATCATCATAGAGATGGTTTACATGTTCACACGATAGGTAACTTGAAAATTTCACTGACTAAGTAGATAATGATATCTAGAGTAACTCTATAAGATTGTAGCACAGTTGAGGCAGGAAGTTTGAATTAGTACAACTAAAGTCAAATTAGTCTCCTGTTGGTAGTTCATTTTAATGCTGGTTATCAATGGGCAGTTATCTCAATGAATGGGCAGATCTTGATGATGCGTTATTCAAACCAATGTAGATTATTAGTTCAAAACTTTGAATCTATTGATTGTGAAACTATCATTAAAAGGAACCAGTGTTAAACTGAGGCTTATTCTATCTCTATTTATTTTCTTGATGCAAATATTGATTTAGAGTGGACAGTATGGAATTGTAATTATAAAAAATCATTTCAGAAAACGAGGATCTGATAAGCAATAATTTAAATTAATTCTTTGTTCAATCATCAAGTCTGCCTAAAAATTTTTAGTCTACTTTTTTTTTTTAATTTAAAGATTTAAAGAATGATTAAAAATACTTGACTATTACAAATAACTTATTTATTTTTCTAATAAAATGTTGAGTTCATCTAAATTAATTTTTTTTTTTTTTTTATACAGTTGAATAAGTTTTTATTTTTTAAAATAAAAAAAGGAAATTTTTATTTATTTTTTTGATTCATACATGTTTATATATATTACCATATGGATTAATGAATAATAGAAGATTCTAAAGACTGACTGTCATAATTAATAAGAGAACAACATTAAAGATGATAAGTGAAACTGACAGTGACATCAAATGAATTGAATATATACATTTTTAACTGCTTTGAAGATGAGATAAATCCTTGAGATTTTTTTCGAGACTATTTATCTTCAAGAAAAGTAATATAATATTGTTTATTTACATAGTTTATTTATTTATTACATAATTATTTACATGCAATAATTTTAATATTATTTTTTAAATAATAATAATTTAACTGAAAATTAAGCCTAACTACGGAGGTGGATACAATAATGCTTATACATATCTGTTGTTCAAGAAAGATACTTTATTTAAGCTATTCATAACAAAATAAACTAAAATATAGTGTATAGTCATGTCAAATTTTTTCTTAACCCTGGGAAAAGGCTCCATACAAATCCGCATATGTATAGATGTGCAACAATTAAGAATAATATATTTATTCTTATGTATAAATTTCCAATATTATAATTTAATTTCAAAAAGGAATGTAACAATAAATGTCATATAGTAAATAGGCTAAATAAAGCATTACCTCAATAGAGAAATTCTAAAAAATAAAGTGTATGTTTGGATTTAATGGTCCATACTGCCAGGCTAAAAAACATTTTATTTTGAACAGTAAAATAATAATCTTTATTAAATATAAACGACAGGATAGACTGGTATCTCTGTATAAAGGACAACCAAGTAAATGATTTTTAATCGTTTAATAAAAGGTTTCTATAAAAGTAGAGTTGTTTTATTTAAAACTATAACAAAAAAGTTTTGATTATTTGTTAAATGGTTTTAAATTGAACTCATTTTTGCAACTTCATATTTTAATAATTAACAGTAAAATATGGTCACAATATTTACAGTTTTTATATATACATAGCAGTTTTCAGTTGAAAACTTTCTTTTTTAAAAATTATAATCAGCTAAACTAAAATAAATAAATAAAAGTATATGATGATATACCAATTAACAATTCTTTGTAATCAGCAACATATAATTCGAGATCAAATTAAGGAAACCGTTTCCTCCAGCGAAATATAGGTTCTGCAAAATTTATCTCATGGCTATTATTATTTATTATATAAATATGTTCTACATTATGAGGAAAATTTGGAGGTGTGTGTGCATCACATAACTTTCATTTAACACCAAATCTGAGTAGAAATAGGTGTTTCCAAATATAGGAATAGGAAAAAGAAGATAGAGGAGAACACTAGACCAGATCTTTGTTCTAAAAACAGGAGCTCTAAAACAATGGAAATTAGCTCAGGATGTCTATTTCATGGACAGAATCTTTGGGAGATCAGGACTGAGCTAGGAGTTCCTGGAAAAATGGTGAGATTAACGAACGCATTTACAAATGATACTATATGCTAAGTTCTGATACAGAGAGAAGAATATGAAGTATTCAAAGTTTGAATATGTACTCTTCGGTTGAGACAGGTATATAGACTCTCACCGATGTTATTAAACTTAATCTTCGAGAATGTGATAAAAATAAAATGGGAGTATAGAGGTGTGAGTTATAATGAATAATAAAATATGAGTATACCCAGATGATACAGTAGTCCTCGGAAGCAATCAAGAGGATATTGGGTAACTTGCTAATAACTAATTAGAGAACCAGAGCAAACTTACCTAGAAGTAGCTCATCAAAACAACAAGGTACTGAGTTTACAATACAATTTTATCTGTAAACTTTAACATGGTTGAAACCGCACAATCATCTTAGAGACTAACCTGAAATCAATCGGTAAAGGAATAATGAGATAAGACGAAAGCTGAGCTGGTAAAACATCCTCGATCAGGTCCTAGACATCAAAAAGAACACATTTGGGATTCAGAAGTATTGACTGTATGCTAAAAATTTGCAATTTTTTAAAATTATGGTAGTCAAAATGAGTGATAGGTCTGATACGAAGAGGCAAATTTCACTTTTTACAGTAAAAATAAATGTTTTAAGTTATGTTAAAAACAAGAAATAACATTTTACAATGCTACAAAACGTGGCATTGAAACAGTTTATCTATATTTTTTAATTACTAAATTTAAGATAAACTATTAGGATAAAAACTGACGATTAATACATGTTCAAAATATTTGTTTGTTATTTTTAGAAAATGTAAACTTGTGTAGATGTTCTAGAATTTCTTCACTAAAATAAATTGAAAAATCCTGTACACAATATCAACATGGAATTGCAATGTTAAGTGCTTTTTAGATCTGAAGGTTAACTTGAATGATGTTCATGATTTTGGCATCAAATTCATGGGTCGGTAAAAATCCTAACTACTGAAGAGTATAACAATGTTTTGATGTTTCATTATCGCTGTAAATGCTTCAATATTTACTGTTAATCCAAAAATAAGACAACCAGCAATACTCACTTACAGAAAAATAAATCTATAAATAGATGTCATGTTGTTTATAGCAATGATATAGTTAACTTAAAAGTTAAAAAATGCAGTGGAAAAAGATTTATATGCTTAAAGATAACACTTAATTTACATTATATAGTTAAGAATAAACTTAATTTGAATATATCGAACACTGTCACAATTGTTATATCACCAGATGAATTTCTCTAACGAAGTTTCAAATTTAAACATAAATGGCAGGTGATAAGCATACCTTCGATGGAGAAAGAGCTGCCGGAACCGTTGATGAGTGTTGCACAGCAACCACTAGGCTTCCCGTGTACACAATAAATCACCCTCTTTCCAGTGCCATCATCAGTGTTCTTCTGGTCCGGCACCGAACCATATCGCTGCCCTGAACCAGACAGGCTAGCCAACACAAATAAAGTCATCAGTATAGGCGATACAAATGAGATCCCAACCCACTTAATTTAAGGTTAGTCAATTTTTTTTTTTTACTAAACCACCGGATTAATAAGATAACGAGTTTAAAGTAACAGAATAATAAGCCATTTAAATGTCAATAAAATTAGATTTAGCCACTAATTCATTATTAATATTGGCCATCATAGCTGATATTGAATTAATAAAAACGTTAGGCTAAATTCAAAAAAGGAATAATTAGAACAGGGTAGTTAATACGACAACTACTACAGAAGTAAAGGATGCCTAACTCACAGTCTTACCGTATTATTGGAATCTAGTGTGGTCATTATTGTGATAAATTAAGTGCTTGAACGAAGTTCTGAATCGAGTTCATTAACATAAGGAAGTACTATTTCTTGGTCAATAGTTGTGGAGCGAGGTGATTTGAACGAGTTCATGGTCAATTACATGGTTATACTCCTTAATTATTTACTTAATTAAGAGTAATAATTTTAAAAAGGTCTCCCATACCCTTCCCCCAAGTTGGATTCACGACTCATGCAACTGATTAAATAATTACCTGTCACAAGTAGAACAGTGCATTCCTCACTGAGCTACCCTGCTCCTTTACATAGTATATACTTTAGAGATATAATTATAATACACAGTAATTACTAAAAAACATTCACAAATATGTATTTCTTCAAATTCACAATTATCTATGCAATCTTTCTGAATAAAAAGAAAAATTTGTTTGTTGTACTATCATTCTAAGCCCCTCCATTGTTTATTATTTGGGGTTTAACATCCTTATGTACCCATGTAACGTCCTTATACTAGAGCAGGAAAGACAGTTATAATTGCGAACAATTATCATAATTATTCTTTCTTAGTTACTTCACTTATTTAATTAAGATTAAGAAGCTATTCATTATTAAAAACAATTTTAAAAGAGAAAGAGCCAAATTAATAATTTTATATTTTAATAAAGGAGTGGGGTAGCTCAGTGGTAGGGAGCTGACTTCCAGGTTCGAATCTGAATAAATTAAATGGTAAATAAATTATTTAATCTGTTTCATCACATCTCTGGATCAATTCTGGGGTAGAGAGACATTCCGGGGCATATCCAGCCTCTAAAAAGTTGTATTCTTGATTAAATAATTAATAAAGGAGAAAACCTGGTGGTTGGACATGAACTCGGTCAAATAATCTCCTTGCACGACCATAGACCAAGAAACAGTACTTCCCTACTATGAAGTGGTACAGTTTTTTTTTTTTTTTTTTTTTATATTTTAAGAAATTTAATTATATTATTTTTATGGAGTTATAGCTTTTTAAGTACATATTGTGTTAATTAAAGAACTAATTAAAATAATTTAATCCTAAATTTATATTTCAAGAGCTCTGTATGACTGGTTAAAGAAAAACCCAGTAACTCAATTTTTTTAGAAAAACTCGTAATTTTTAAAATCTCAATTTAACTAAAAGTAAACCAAAAAATAATAAAGAAATCCATAGAAATGAGCACATAGATAAAAAAAGTACTCCAAATGATATGAAATGTCTTGTAAAGAATAATTAAAGATTTCAAAATCTTAAACTGGTACCTTAGTAGATATATTCTCAAAACCAGCCATAAAATACTCTTACACCCACAACATAAATAAATTAAAATCTGTAGCTAACATAAGCAAGAGGAAGAGAAAAGCAGAAACAATATTACATAAAAGGCAACAAATGCATATGCATATACAAATATGACCAATAATAATACAACTTAACTTAATACTTGAATGATTTAATGCTATCTAAAACCCAAAACTATTATAATATACAATAAAAAATGTAATTAGAAACAAAAATAATCTTACATTCGTCTTCAGCAATTCAAATGTCTTATTAAAAAATATACATTGATACATATTTTCCTAGCAATTGGTAATTAACTTGATGCTTTCTTTATGTTAAATTGTCAAAGACAGTTGAAACACAAATACATGGATCCATCATACATTTTAAATATCTATATATTAATTTGTTTTTAGAAACCAATTAATTTTTTTTTTAGTATAATGGAAAAACTTTTTATATTTTAATAAATTGCTAAAATGAAAGTGAAGGGTTTCACTGAGCAAATTTTAGAAAAATTAAGCATTTTAACAGAAAGTTCCACTAAATTAATTATCATAAATAATAGATAAAAAAAAGAAGAAAGAAGCTGCCACTAAAAAGTGAATGAAGGCTACAGACAGGAAAAGACAAAAGTGAGCCAGCCAATAAGACATACCAAGTGAAGAGAAGTTTACAAAATACTGGATATCAGAGAACTTTCTAAGCTGCTAAACAACCACAAAAAATAGCTTTTCAAGAAATTAAATATAAAGATGATGAAGGAAGATAACCTTAGTAAAGAATCAAATAGAGGAAAGACCTCAGAAACAAATTGGGCTAAACAGTGTGCCAAAACTAATATCCTTAGTTTGAGGATGGCCAGGACCAAGTATATTTATTACATATTTATTTTTCACCATTTCACAAGGCAAAAGATGTTCAGTTACTTGGTTATAAAAAGAACTATGAGGAGTATAAACAGTTATACCCCAGACCAAGATATAGTTAGCAACATGAAGAATCCAAAGATGATAACAATAAACACAAAGATGCATAAATTTGAGAAAATAGGAAACAAGCAGTGAAGCATTTAAAAATGTAAGGCATTATTAAAATGTAAACCAATACAAAGTTGAAATTATTTTGGCAGGGAATTCCTAAAATGAAATATGATGCTACTTTGTCTACAATAATAGAAAAACCACTTTGCCATCATTAACTTTTATGTAACTACATAGTAACCATTATAATTATTCACTTTTTAATCAGAATATATATATATATTTTTTTTTTTACTATTTATATAATTGGTATATAAGTTTGTAGTATAAGGATGTTTTGATAATTTAAGTAATAAATCAGCAACTGAATACATAATGTGTAAAAATTTCAAAAATAAATAGCACATGCCTTTGAAGGTTTAATGGATCTTTGGCTATAAAGAAAATCCTTGGATCCTAAAAATAATATAATCATTTTTCTTATCTCTAACACAATCTACAAGCACTTCAATGAGCAATATTGAATACAACTTGATTTCAAGTAATATTGAAGTTCAACACACTGAGTCCAACATATGGATTGTAACTACATCTTTAACATTAACATTCTTTATTAATACTAATAAAAGTAATAATTTAACCGCAAAATTTATAACATGGTTAATTTTAATTTGTACCTCAAAATTAACAATAAACAATATAAAGTATTTCTATATGCAATATTAGAAGAACATATTATATAAGACATATTACATAATTTATTTATGTTGCATCTAAGCTTCAGCTAGATTATTCAAATTGCATTATTCTGTTTGACATTATGTAAATTTATTAATATTTAATTTTTAAAAAATTATTATTTTTTTTTTTACTTTTTCTTACCTCTAATCTAAAGGGACATTGGTGTTTTACTATAAAAATTTATTAATTATTTCACAGGATATAAACTAATTATAGAATGAATTATTAAAAAGAATTAACCAATTATGAAAATTTAAACAAATAATTCTACACCAGATAGAGTAAAATATCAAGTGCCATTTGATTTTATATAAAACTTTTAACTATGTCTAATTTAAAAACATATTTAATGTAAGTTCACGATCATTTCGATTTGATTTATGTTACTTACAATAACAGAGAAGCTTTTTCCTCATCCATGACATTCACTAAAATAACAATTAAAAAGTGTTCCTATCAAGGAACAGTATTAAGCTGAGAAAACTGAGAGATTAACAAGGTGTGTTTGTGGAAGAGGATACTATGCTCTTATCTTTTCCAAATTGAAGGTTGATAAAATAGTGTCCATTGAACAATATCAGTTTCGTTTGTTTTCATAAAATCACTTGAACAGATAAAAGCTATTGAAACGACTTAAGTACACATAATAGAAACACAAATTGATCAATTAAAATATAGACATTAATTATTTTTTCAATTAATTCAAATCAAGTAATGCTCCTGACAATATTTGTTTGGTTTTTAAATTCTTCAAAAATTTCCTGTGTTTGGCAAAAGTGATTATACAATAAGAATTTATTTAAATTCAATTTTTCATAATATAGATATTCTGTCAAAGCAAATTTAATTAGATATCTACAAAAATATATTTTAGATAAATATTATGCTATTCATTCGCACAATATGTATACAATACAATACAAGAAAAGTATTAAATTCTCAAATTAAATATTCTCTGTACTTCAGAGCAGACAATACTTATTATTTATGCATACCAAATATTTCCATTCAAATACATTTCCAACATTTCATAATTTATTTTGGAACGGAATAAAACTATAAAATAAATTTCAACAGGTTATACATAAGCATACAGTTTAAATTAAATAAAAATATAAATGTGTTTATTTTATAAAATAATTGCACATACATAGTTTTTCATTTTTATCATTGACATGTATTACGACGTAATGTGCATAAAATGCGATGAAGAATGGTGTTTGTTTTTGTATTTGATAAGATACACATTTTATGTGGCAAGATAATAAGTGATCATTATTGTTAATAATATTTTTTGTGACTTGTTATTATAGGTAACTTGAGATTGAGCAAAGTTGCTCGAAACGTTATGAGTTGAAAAAATAGTTAAATTATAAGGGATTATATATCCTTGAAGACACCATGTAGAACTACAAAAATCAGTTAATATTAATCTACTACATTTTAAGAAGTTGGGTCAGGGATGTAGTCAATAGATATGCTATAGATTATAATGATCTTTTATTACTTTTGCCAACATTTTGATCTACTTTGTAGATCTTTATCAGGGCTAAAAGAACAAGATACGAGCAAAAATTAAGATACAAAAAGTTAATTGGAAAAGGGTGCATATATATAAAATATCAGATAATGTTAATTTAATACAGGATA